ATTATTTTGAGATATCATGAAGTAATGACTTGATATCTCAAAATAACGACCATTTTGAAATAACGACTTGATATCTTGAAATAATGACGAAATGTCTTGAAATAATGAGAAACTTTTTCAGAATTTCTACTTAATATCTTGATATGACAAGAAACTTTTTCGTAATTTTGACTTAATATCTCTAACGAGAAATTTTCTCATAATTTCGACTAAATATCATGAAAAATTTTCTCGTAGTTTTGACAATATCTAATAATAACTACTTAATATCTAAAAATAATTACTTAATATCTAAAAATAATTACTTAATATCTTGAAATAACGACGTAATATCTCAAAATTATGACTTGCTATCTCAAACTAATGACTAATTACCTTGAAATAATGAGAAACTGACAAATTTTGACTTAATATCTCAAAATAACGAGAAATTTCAACTTAATATCTCACAATAATGACATATCTCGAAATTGTGTGAAACTATCTGATCATTTTGACTAATCTCGAAATAGTGACTTAGTTTCTCACAATTTCGAGATATTATCTGATAATTTCGACTTAATATCAAAATAACGACAATATCTTGACATGACTTACTTTCTTGAAATAATGAGAAATTTTCTCGTAATTTTGACTTAATATCTCGAAATAATGACTTGATATCTCAAAATAACGACTTAATATCTCGAAATGACTAAATGTCTTGAAATGACGAGAAAGTGTCTCAAAATCTTAACTTAATATTTCGAAATAAGAACTTACTACCTCGAAATAATTACTAAATATCTTGAAATAATGAGAAACTCATTGTCATGATCCGCTCCGTCCGCTCCTGATGTGTGCCACACCCACCTCGTTACCTCGTGTTCAGCCCTGAGTGTGATCACCTGTGTCCTGTTAGTTCTAGCTTGTCTTTTGTATTTAGTCCTCGTCTGAGTCAATCTTCCCCAGATCTGTCATTGTATTGTCCGTTAGATGTCCCTACCTGTCTGTCTTTTGCTGATTAAAAACCCTGATTACCCGTCAGTCCGGCTCGCTCTCCTGCTTCACCGCTTGCCTGCTTGCCGCAACGTGACACTCATAATTTAGACATATCTCAAAATAACAACTTGATATCTCAAAATAATGACTTAATGTCTCGAAATAATGACTTACTACCTTGAAATAACTAAATATCTGACGATAAAGTTTCTCAAAATTTCAACTTAATATCTTGAAACATCGTAATATCTCGAAATAATGACTTAATATCTCGAAATAAATATTTTGAAATAGTGACTTAATATCTCGAAATAAGAAACTTTCTCATGATTTCTACTTAAAATCTCAATATGACAAGAAAATATTTATTTTCTTAATATCTATAATACAGCCGACATATTAAGTCGTAATTATGAGAAAGTTTGTAGTTATTTCCAGATACTACGTCGAAGTTCTGAGAAAGTTTCTCATTATTTTGAGATATTAAATCATTTTTTCGAGATAGTAAGTCGTTATTTGGAGATATTAAATCATTTTGAGTTATTAAGTCGTTATTTCTCCATTTTAAGTCATAATTATGAGAAAGTTTCTCTATTTCCAAATACTATGTTGAAATTCTGAGAGTTTCTCGTTATTTTGAGATATGGAGGGGCTTCCGGTATGTGGTCTACTGAGTAGACATGTATTCGTCTTGCTCCACTACACTGTACCATATTTATCTTACAAACCTCACACTTTTTGTTCTGAAATCCAGATTTAGTTATTTTTATGTGTATTATTTTTAATGCACCTGTAGAATGTCTAAGTCGAAAGGTAAATCCGAACGAGAACGAGAAAACTCACCGCTGACGGCACCTGTAACTATGGCGCAGATTAGCCTTTTGCTAGAAGAGCACAGAGCTGCACTGTCTGCGGACTTTAAGACTTATTTTGAAAACTTCTCGTCTAAGCTGGACAGCCTTCAGTCTGCAGTGCAGGACCATAGTCTACGCATTAGTTCTCTCGAGCTTGCACATACCGATTTCGATCAACGTTTAGACCAGATCAAGGCTGAATGCTCTGCGCTCCAAAAAGAGAACGGGTGGTTAAAATCCAAGTTGGCAGATCTGGAGGGGCGCAGCAGACGCCAGAACATTCGGATTATGGGTTAACCTGAAGCTATTGAGGGTCCGCGTCCTACTACTTTTTTCTCCCAACTCCTCATCGATGTCCTTGGATCGCAGGTGCTTGCTTCGCCGCCGGAGCTGGACAGGGCGTACCGGAGCCTAGCTCCTAAGCCGCCCGCCGGAGGGAAACCCAGACCTTTTATCCTGCGTTTTCATCATTACCAAATAAAAGATCTGGTGATTCGCGAGGCACGTAAGAGAGATGACCTGATCTACAGTGGCCATAAGATTCGGCTTTACGAGGATTACACCCCCGAAGTGGTAAGGCAGCGTGCGGAGTTTAAGGGTGCCATGGCAGAGCTCTACAAGCGGGGATTCCGGCCTGCGCTCTTTTATCCAGCTAAAATGCGCATTGTTCTGCCGACCGGGGAGAGAAAGTGGCTGCAGTCTGCGTCGGACGCCGACAAATTTATTTTGAGATATTAAGTCATTATTTCGAGATATTAAGTCATTATTTTTTAAAACTAAGTGTTATTTCGAGATATTACGTCGAAATTCTGGGAAAAGTTCTCATTATTTTGAGATATTTTTTTTTGAACAATATATTTATTACTTCTTTAGTTTGCATATCACAACAAATTGCACAGATACAGAATAATAGTCATGTAGACACAGCAAACATTTTACACCCCATTTTCCCTCCCATCAACCCATTCCCCGAAAAAAAAAAGGAAGAAAGAGAAAAGAAAAGAAAAAAAAGGGGGATACTTAAATCAGGTAAAGAGTGTTTCCCAAGTCTATGTTTAGACCATGATACTATGATCCTACTCCCTCAGAGCTTGTTCTTGTAGCAGACTACCAACATTTGGATTGTACTTTAGGAAATTATTAAAAGGTCTCCAGATATCTTCAAACACGTTTTGTTTTTTTTTGACAATATATGTGATCTTTTCCAGTGACATATATGACGCCATTTCTTTAATCCACTTTCCAATTCTAGGTTCATTCATATTTTTCCAATTAAGAGCAATAATACGTTTAGCTTGTAAAATACACATTTCTATGAATCTGACCTCTTTGTTTTGTAAGAGAGGGCTAACAGGATATATAGCCAGAATAAAAATCTTAGGATCCAGTAGTAATTTCAGTGATAAAATTTGGTCAATCATTTCAGTAATACCTTGCCAAAAGGGTTTCACCTTCACACATTACCATATACAATGGTACAGTGTACCTCTTACCTCATTACACTTTATACAAGTATCAGGAACATTATCGTTAAACTTGTGCAATATAGCAGGAGTTAAGTATGTTCGCATCAGCCATTTGTACTGTAAAAGTTTCAGGCTATTGTTGATTGTTTGTATCTGAGCTTTCGTACATGCCTCATTCCAATCCTCTAGGGATATTTCATTGTCTATATCTTTTTTTCCATAATCTTAATTTTGGTTCTGAGGATTCGCCAGAGCCAGATACAAACAATTCATACAAAGAAGAGATTGAACCTTTATTATAACAGTGTCCTAAGACCGCTGCTTCTAATGGGGAAATGTTAGGAATATCTAATGAATGATTTTGAGATGAGTATACAAAACTTCTAAGTTGAAGATATTTGAAAAAATGGGTTTTTGGAATGTCATACTTGTTTGAGATTGCTGCGAAGGACATAAATACTTCACCCTCATCATACATGTCTTGTATTTTCCTTAACCATTTTTTAGCCCATATTTGAAATCCTGCATCGCTTTATCCTGGTTTAAAATTAACATTACCCCAAATAGGACTGAAACGCGACCAGGAGGAATTTATATTCAAATATTTACATGAATCAAACCAAATATTGATCATGTTCAATACAATGGGGTTGTTTGTATTTTTTCTTAGATAATTGTGATCTGCCGAATACAGGTATAAGTGCAGTGGTATTTGTGGTGTAACAGAACAGGATTCCAAATCCATCCAAGCTGGAGAGCTTTCAGAAGAAAAATAAAACATGATTGTATGCAGCTGAGCTGCCCAGTAATACCACTGAATGTTTGGACATTTAAGTCCCCCTCGATCATAAGGTAGGTATAACAAAGTTAAACGTAGTCTGGGACGTTTATTTTGCCAAATAAAGTTGGCGAACAATTTCTTAATTCTAGTAAACAATGATGAGGGAGGGGGTAAGGGGATATTTTGGAACAAATAAAGAAATTTAGGGAGTATATTCATTTTTAGGATATTTTTCCTGCCAATCATTGAGATGGGTAAATATGTCCAACGTTCTATTGACGAGATAGTAGCTTCCAGAATTGGGTCATAATTTATCTGAGCTATCTTATCCACCTCACGTATAATTTTAATACCCAGATACGTAAAATTATCCGTTGAATTAAAGACAGAAGCATAACCTACACTCTAAAAAGTAATTCAGAGGCTTAGTAAATATCACTACAAATATAAGTTAGGCCACTTAAAATTAATAAATTGTTTTACATGGCCGCCCGCCTCAATTTTTTGGTGCCGCCTCGATTTTTTTTATATTTTATATTTTTCAAAAAATCCGTTTTTTTCACCTCAAAAACTGTGGGTGAAAAATCTTGAATGTCAGCCTCGGATTTTTCAATTTGACGCTTCTCGGACAATGGTTTTTATCGTTTGTCAGATTGTGTGTGGGCCCACGGTATTAAAATCTTGGCAGGGCATCAATATACCGAGTAATATATATTACCCTTCGCGAGCTGTTTGAGAACTTTTCTAGTTTTAGTAGCCTATATCTCTGTTGCCGTTCGTCTTTTCGCTAAAAATATAAAATATAAAATCCCATACTCACCAATATTTTAGAAGTTTGAATCATGTAAAACAATTTATTAATTTTAAGTGGCCTTAGATGACCTTGATAAAATCTCTGAATATCACTTAAGTAATTATTTGAGTTGGATATATTGAAATTAAATGTCTAAAAATTTAACTTGTGTTTTTGTGTTAAATTAAGGTATTTATTTACATTTATTTCAGAGAAAATTTTCAGTATTTGGTTCGCCACAGAATACCTTTTTTACATGTACCGTACGTAATGTTTTGTTTGAAACTGAATCAAAATATTTGAGAAATACGTATACCTATACTTATCAGTATCTTGGACTAAAATCGTTATTATTCAAATCAATATTATTTATCTTCAACAACAACTTAAAAGTTTAAGTAAAACGTGACAACGTACATTAATTGATTATTAATGCGCGGGGGAAAACGCGCAGCCTCACGGGAAATTTTCATTTCTGCACACGACGGTTAACGGACACAAACTCACGGCGGAGCCACCCGGAAAACTTGCCGGTAAGTGGCCTGAGAGCAAACCTTAATGCTGTCTTACCCACTCTGTAACTTTCTCCAGACCGTAGTACCGGAACTTTAGTTCTTAAGCCGTTTGCCCGTTGTTGGTACCTCTCTCGGACTGTCTTTTTTTTTTTTTTTTTTAATTTGAAACTATTAAAAGGCTCTTAACTCGCGGTTAATAGTTTGTCCTACAATTTGATTTGTAATGAGCATATTTCTCCCCAGTAATGTGTATTTTGGAGCATGTCTCTGAGGAGTGTAAAAAGAAAAACAGCACAACCATTAAGGATTTAATGTGCAGAACCTTTCCACATACTGTAGAAGACATGATGTCATCAGCCAACAGCTTAGCATCAGAGACATCAAGGACAGATGGCCTGCTTTGTTTGATGTCTCCCAAGTAAGTTATTATTTTTGTCTTCTTTTGAGGGGAAAAAAACTGCATGTATCAGACTTCAATGTATTTTTAAGATGTGTGGAACAGTCTGGTATTTTTTTCATTGCTATATGGACTTAAGCTTTTGCTACATTGACATGATTTTAATTCAGACTTTTAGGATTTTGTCTTTTCCTTTTTTTGTCCTCTTTTCCAGATCAGTGCAGAGTTTCATAGAATCAACACTGAACCTTGAGCCAAAATTCATGTCAATGTTGGACTTCTACTCCCCTAAGCTGCTATCCCTGTTACAAGCCCTCCAATCTTCTTGCAAGAACTTTACTTAGTATTTTTGTATCTGAATTTAAAAGGCTGATTGGGCGCATATTTTCACATTTTATATTTGATTTTCCCGGTTTAGGAAGTAAAGTTATTAGGGCACTCCTCATGGATGTCGGAAGGAGACCATTCCCAAAGGACTCCTGAAACATCTCCAGAAGAGGTGAAATTAATTTAGACTGAAAATTTTTATACAAATCTATAGGTATGCCGTCTGGACCTGCCGTTTTCCCCGCCTGCATACAGTTAATAGCTTCTGCAATTTCTATTTTTGTGAGTTCTCCATCTAATGCCTTACTTTCATTTTCCGAAATTATAGGAATATTAAGGTTATTTAGAAATTGTGTCTGCTTATCAAGTCTGGGAGTACCCTCAGAACTATACAATTTTTCATAGAATACTTTGAAGGCCTCATTAATTTCTATAGGATCTACTATGGTTCTTCGCTTGAATCTTCAATGTAATTAATAGACCTTTCTGTTTGTTGCTGTTTAATGTGCCATGCTAAAAGTTTCCCAGGTTTTTCCCCCTGGTCGTAATAGGATTGTTTAAGTTTCATTAGATGAATTGCTGCTTTATTAGCCGACAGTTCATTGTACCGTGACCTAAGAAGGAGTAATTGTACATTTGCTTCTGTAGAGTTAGGTTTGTTATTGTAGAGATCTGTTTTAAGTTTTTTAATTTTTTTCATCCAATGTTTTCATTTCCAATTGTGTACTCCTTTTTTTTGTACTGGAAAAACTGATTATTTGACCCCTAATAAAAACCTTGAATGCCTCCCACCTTATGCTAGCAGATGTTTGAGAAGCATTACATACAAAATACAAGTCAATTTGTTTATCTAAAAAATCTATAAATGTGGAGTCTGTTAGCCATCCTGGTTGAAGGCGCCATTTTGGAGGATCTCTCGCTAGTTTAGTATCTGTATAAGTGAGTGATATAGCTGCATGGTCCGATATAACTATGCTACTATAATTACAATCATCAATTTTTGAAACAATTTGTGCTGAAACCAAAAAATAGTCTATACGTGAGTAAGTATTATAGGTACTAGAATAACAAGAATATTCTACTGCATTTGGTTTACTATGTCTCCATATGTCCAACAAATTTAATTCTTTAATAAAACTATTTATTGTCTTTCTTGCTCTAATGTGAGTATTATCAATACCTGATAATCTATCTCTTGCCAGATCTAACGTACAATTAAAATCACCAGCAATTATATATCGCCCCGGAAGATTTGAAACAGTCAGAAACAAATTATTATAGAATTTAGGGTCATCTTCATTGGGTCCGTAAACATTTATCAGATTTAAGTTTTCAAATAACAACATACCCTGGACTATGATGTATCTACCTGCAGGATCCTTAATTATATTTTTAATTTGTAAAGGAACAGATTTATGAATTAGTATTGCAACACCTCTAGCATGAGTGGTATTGGAGGCAGACAGTACCCGACCCTGCCATCTTCTGCTTAATTTAGAAATATCCCCACTCAATAGATGAGTTTCTTGCAAGAAAATTATTTTTGATTGCAAGAATTTTAACCTGTTCATCACTTGTTTAATCTTTGTAATATTGTTTAAACCCCTACAGTTCCATGAAGTAAACTTCACCTTCAAGCTACTAGACATTAGTTGTCTAATATAACCCTAAAGATTTATTACTTATTTGATGGAAACACACCCACATACAATATTAAAACAAGGGGGAAAAAAAGGAAGAGGGAAAAAAAGGGAGAAAACAGCACACCCTATACCAACCGCTTATGACCGATACGGGTCTATGCAGTACAAAGAGCCGTCTGTCTATCACTTCTGATTATTTCCTTCTTTTTAGCTCACTCTGCAATTATCAAGTACTACTCCACCAACTTTTTTACTTAGCTGTACAAAACTACGCAACATTTGTAAACTTAACCATTAAAAGATTAATATATTGGAACATTCAGGAACATAGCAAATAATGACATACCTGGGGGATGAGCTGAAGGATCAACAAAAAATAGATAAAAATAAATCAAGCAATATTGCTATTGGCCATGTAAAGTTCTTCGTGGGTCAAACATTCCTTGCGAATGTCAGACGGTCCAATATTTGAATGTGTATTATGGCCCTGTTTTCCTTTTCCATCCTAGGTACATTGTAATTGTTTTTCATCATGAGAGTAAACATATGCGGTCATGAAAAAAAAAATAGATAAATAGCCAAGTGTAACAGAAAACATTACGCAAAAGAATTGTCGCGCTCTCTCACTTGAAAGTTTCATAAGAGGAATTAGCCAATAATGTCACATTTTCCTGGTGGTAGTCTCTTACATCGGATCGGTAGGTTCGTCTTGGACCTTCAAAGAGACTGGACAAATTTGTCTACTTCAGCCGGAGTTTGGAAGGTGTAGGATCTTTCCCCGTGTGTCAGCAGGAGCCGTGCTAGAAAGATAATTCTATGCTCATGAATTCCCTTGTCTCGCAGCCTTTTTCGCACGTCATCATAGTTACGCTGCATCTTGTGTATACCAGCGGAAAAGTCTGGATGAAAGCAGACTTGTTCGTTGTTGTAAAGAACATTCCCTTTAACTCTGGCTGCTATTAGCACTCGCTCCTTGTCTCTGAAGTTCAGGAACTTCATGATCAGTGTCCTCGGGCGTGTCGTTCGTGAGCCGATGTTTGTCAGAATGCCGATTCTGTGATCCCGCTCAATTACCACATATTCCCGCGATTCCAATCCTAGAGCCTCCGGTATCCACTTCTCCAAAAATGTCACCGTGTTCTGGCCCTCTGCTTTCTCCGGTAGGCCCACCAGCCTTATGTTGTTCCGTCGACTTCTGCATTCCAAATCTTCCACTCTGTCTGAGAGCGTTGTAACAGTATTTTCCAACGTATTCACCCTGGATAACAACCCATTAACCTTATCGTCGGCATCCGAAATGCGTTGCTCCGCTTGTGTTATACGCCCTGTGCATTCCTTTATCTCCTTACTTATCTTCGTAATTGTTGCTTGGACTCCATCGATTTTCTTATAAAGGTCACTTTTCAAAGACATTATAGCTTTCATAATATCTTCGTTATTTCCCCCCGAAATTACTACTTCATCATCATCTTCGTCAGGGCCGCCTCCAGCTAACATGGCGTCGCTAGTTTCTTCACCCTCGGAATATTCATCTTCGTTTTTTGCCTTTTTCTTGTCTTTTTTGACACTTTTGCGTGACATTTTACTACCCTATCTTTTTATATTCCTGTTGCTTGACTTTAAATACAGTTCTGGATGGTATTGTAGGATTAATCGCAAACTAGCAGCAGAGCTAAAAAATTGTATAATAAGTCGTTATTTTGAGATACCAAGTCAAAATAAAATGCCGCTATGCCGTTATTATATGACAAATGCTGGTCATATGTCAGAGACAAAACACTATCACAGTAACGCCAACAGCAATCAACAAAACATCTGGAAGTACATCGAGTCTGTGCATGAAGCAGTATAAAAGTGAATAACATTTTGCAAATTACCACAGCATGCTTTATTATGTGCTTTACCGTGCAATGCCATTTTCACACAAACAGGGAGGAGCACGATTCAAATCCAGAGCGGAGAAGCTGTAGTGCCGCCCATTGGGCCACCATGCCACTCTTACAAATCACTGTCGGTCTGTTATACTTCATATGAAACCATTAGACTGAGCATTTACTATAGGATTTATTACACTTTCTCCTGATGTACAATGTTTATAAGTATTTTAGCTATAGAGGCAGAATATTACATATTTGACATTTCCCAACCTTGTCCCACTCAGCTTTGAATAAACGCACAAATTAAGATCCAAGAATACAAATTAAAGTTTTAATAGTGAGGGAGAGTGAAATTTCAGGGGCAGGGGGATTACTGCTTTACAATACAAGTGCATGCAAACAGCAGCAGGAATTGAATGTTCGATATGAGAGAATACATTTGCTGCCTAAAATGAGCCTGGCTGTGTGTGATGTACAGAGATGCTAAGGTAGGGCCCGTCGGAGTCTTGCGAAGATTCGTGGCCTCTTGTGTTGCTCTCTCTGCGCAGAGCTTGTGCAGGCATCATCCACTGGGGGAATGGAGGAATGAGCCCCGTTCTGCCGACTCGTGGCTGACCCTGTGCAACAGGCTTCCATGTTAGACTTCTGGTTTATCCCACTCCGCTTCTCCCATTACTCTTATCTACACACACTATACACTATAAATTTCCAAATAAT